GACAGTAAAAACGCTGCTGAACCAAACCAGTTTGGTTTTGAAGAACTTGATTGGCCTGCTGAGCGGTAGTGCAGTGTAAACTGAACCCAATAGATAAACCAAGAATTAAAAAAAACCTTGTTGTAGTCAAGACAGAACTAAAATATCCGTCTTTTGCAGCATACTGGACAATACATCTTTTTTTTCTACAGAAAACATTTTGACTTGTCATAGCAGGAAAAGCAGAGGTGTTATTGATAACACCAGCAGTGCCTCTGTAGGATTTAGGTGTCCCACTAAGCCCTAATCATGTGTCGATGGGCCAGCATGCAAAATACCAGGACTCTGAAACAGAGGAAGCTAAACATAGAACATCATACATTTTATTATTTTCACCTGTGCATTTCCTGTGACGTGTGAGAAAAAGGTCCATGGTGCACTCGGCTGGTCCTCGTCAACTCGTTAAGTCAGGAACGTTCACATGACCCATCTGTGTATCATGGAATTAACTAAAGACCACTTCGTTGGCTGTTTGAGGACAACTTCCAGGTCAAATATACCATTTATTTTTTGGCTGGAATATCTAATTTTAGAACAACAGGTTCAGCCACATCTTTAGGTCACACCTTCATGGGCCAGCTCATTCAAAGAGAGTTAGAGCCCCACACATAATCCCACACATGCTCCCCTCCATACACACCTATGGAGTGTGAGGGCAAGTGTTAATCCAGCCAATGATTTATTGCCTTTGGCAGGCTACGTGCCTCTGGGATTAATGTGTTACAAGAGATTGGCACATATACCAGCCACTTTAGCCTTCAGGGAGAAAGACGTTTTATATCAGTTCTCAGTGAGTAACATGTCAAATAACAGCTTCTCTCTCAGACTGCATCTGTCTTCATGGCATCTTCCTGTCGTGGAAATGTATTGATGTAGCCAGATTTTGGACGAGGATATTTTTACGAGACAGCCACATTGGTATTGTTCTCACCTTGTGAGTCGGTGTGTGTGTGTGTGTGTGTCATCATGGTAAAATGTAGTCCTGTAGACACCCACAGCAGCAGGAACTACCACAGAGGAGGTTACTTTGCCAGGTTTCTGTCTGCCTGTCTGTCAGATAACGTCCCAACTGGCATCTTGCCAGTTGGGATGCAGGTTAGCTCAGTTGAGGACTTAAGGATTCTAAATTACCCGTAGGCCTGTAGGTGTGAAGGTGAGCGTCAATGGTTGTCCGTCGCCATGTGCCCTCCGATAGTCGGGCCACCTGTCCAGGGTGTACCCTGCCTTCGAACAGTGTCAGGTGAGATCGGCTACCCCCCTATACCACCCTGAATAGGATAAGCAGTTCGGATAATGGTTGGATGAGTGGGTAATCCAGCATGAGTCAAGGAAAAGGTCATTGAGCTCCACATCAACAAAAACCAAAGATGTCACAACTGGAAACTGGTTTGAACTCATATGAGACAAATATTCAGTTCGTTAATTCATGCAACAATGTGGATACTGTCTGTGGACGAGTCAAGTGTTACCTTTCCTTTTTGGCACCACAGGACTTCACTGTGGGCCACTCAGCCGACGTTGTCAAAATGTTGTTAGTGTAGGAAACCGGTCTTGACAAACTATAACCCTGTTGTGCTCAGACCTAGCAAGAACATTCCCTCCAAACGGAGTCTCTATCTCTGCTGAAGACTTTATATGAGGCAAGTCAAGCCAGGTCATTGACTCTCACTTCCATTAACTACATGACTGAGTTTCATCGGCTTAGCTCAGTCTCTTTTAAACTCGGGATCAATCTTGTTTTCTTCTATTTTCTCCTCATCTGAACTTCCTGCACTCTTTCATCTGCCCCTAACTAAGCCCACACACTGTAGAGTAGAACGTTTTAATACTTTAATACTTTTCAAGTCTATTCCCTGTTCGCCATCTTTGCACCTTGCTCTCCACACACACTTGGCCTTTTATGATTTTTTTTTTATCATGCAGATACATTTAAGGGCTCATGCGTTTCCAGGTCCATGCTTGAGAAGCAGCAGAGCATGAAGATGCCAGGGAGAAAAAATAATGAAAGACAAGACAGCTTAGCCTGCTATGACCTGTAATGTGTTGCACTGAAGTGTTTGTTCGACTCATTCTCCCTTCAAGTCTGTAAGACAGACATTTCCTTCTCAGAAGATTTTAAACCATTGGCACTGTTGACTCCCATGTCAATCATTCTTGGTAGCAATAAATCATACATGATGACATTTTAATAGCTCACCTTGCAAACTTGATCCCAACTATTTGTCAATTAAGATAATATCTCTGAGCCGCAGCCAATATATGCTGACAAAATATCATGGGAGAGAACGACTGGCTGGCATCCAGATCATTGTCAACCTGCTTCAACTTAAAAAGCGTATGAAGTTAATGCTGAAGGCCAGAGTCAGTTATCATTAGCGTAAAACGTAAGGGAACAGACGAGGGAGGAGCTGGTGGTGAGGCTGTTTGGTCCAAACGGAAATATCGTGTACGAACAAATCCTCAACACAGAAACTTTCAACTGAACTGACTTTACTGAATCAGGGCAGCGTGAATCATGCTCATTTTAAGGTTCATGCTTGTATTTTGGGTTTCTTCTAAAACATGTTGAAATGTTTTAATGTTAAAAAACACATTGTTTTTTGGTGCTGTATGTACCTGTATTCACCCTCTGTCGGAAACGCTCTTTTTTAGCACCAGTCTCTCCAAGCCCCAAATAGTGAATGCCCCAGAGTTTATCGTGATGTTTTAACTCTGTTGTAAATAGTCAGCTGCTGAGCTGTTAACCCTTATTAACAATGCTTGTGCAGGCTAGTTTTGTACTGAACTTAACGCAGTGGATTGGACCAGCAACAGAACAGTGTACTTGGTTATGTTAAGGCAACAAAAGTACTTTCTACACATGGGACACAAACAGCAGTCTCCTGTGTCTCTATCCATCACCCCAACCTCCTACCTATGTAGACTTCAGTGGACTCATTTGAAACTTCTTTCTTCTACGTCAAAAGCTGAATAAACTTAAATCACAATGCCGTATCACTGTGTGGGAACATTTTAGGAGACAGGGCTGATGCTGGATGTGGAAAGAGGCAACTTTGCTCACTCAAAAGGTGATAATATGACAGTGCTTGTAACTTGTTTCAGCTGCACGAACATTTAAAAAAGAAATCTGTAGTTGCTGGTTTTCCTGGAAACAATTAGTGGTTTAGAGCATACAAGGAACGATTGAGAAACTATGGGCGTGTTAAGGGTAGTTAGATGATTCAGGGCTCTCCTTTCACACAGAAACTAACTGATGTGTCAGCAAGACACTTGATCTCTGATTGCTTCAGCAGAGCTGCTCTATGTTGGCATCATAGACTGTGGATAAGGAGGCTGCCAACCACTGTGGAGCTGATCATCTTTCAGGGTTAAATAAGTCCTAAAACCCTGATCCGCAATTAGTGCCACACCACTGCCTTACAGATTCCATCAGCAGTCATTGACATTCAAGGGTCTTTTATTAACCCAGAAGCTAAAGAAAACAATTGGCTTTTCACAGTCATAATAAAGTAATTAAAAGATTTGAACACCTGAGTGATAAGAGATCCAAGGTTGGCTAGTACAGTTTATTCTACTTACTTATTGAAAGGTAAAAGAGCTTGTTCTTCAGTATAAAGAAGTACCGACACATAACTTGAACTAGTACTTGATTCGAGCAAATCGGAAAAAAAAAAAATGCTGTCTAGTGCAGGGCATGCATTTCCTAATTTGACATTTACAGTTTTGTCAAAGCCTTAAAAATGTATTATAAATCCAGCTGTATAGTTTTGTGTTTTCCGGGGGATCACCATACCGTAGAAAGCCTCTGGTCATATTTTTATAGCTTCAAACTGCTATAAAACCATGCGGCGCTGCAACATGTACACAATGAGTAATCTGAGTGTGTGAAGGCGGCAAACACTGGCGAGGATAGGAACATAAATATGATTTAAATAGCACACACCTCAATTCTAACCCTTGGGCAGGGTTAAAATAATCAGAGGTCTGATTTCATTAGTGCTGGCGCAGAGGAAGGATATTATTCAGCAGAGCAAAGCTCAACAGCTTGTTGAAACAACATCCTGCAAATCTCCTGTGTCGCTCCTTATCTCTGTCATGAACTCTACATGCGTCCCTCTTCACCTCTCCTCCTGCCTGTTGCCTACCTCTCTCAGTATGTACTGTATGTTCTTACTGTATGTTCAGGGATGTGCAGAGTATACTGGTGCAGGATTGGTGCAAGTTTGCTTCCAAGTAGTTAATCAATACAGCACAGCAAAAAGACAAACCAACAACAGTGATCAAAAAAATGTATTACATTTAAATACATCTTGAAACTATTTTTTTACCCGGAAACAGAAGGTATGGGTGGGACGAGATTGTGCCAACATCAGGATGAGTAATGGGAACGGTCTTTCTCCTTCTTGCTCTCTTTCTCTCTCTCTGTCTTCCTCTCTGTAGAAATTTGCATTCAATGATGTCTTTATTTCCCATCATCCCCTGGCAGGTTCCCTCTGCCAACCAAGCGATCTGTGCCAGCTTCCTGACCATGCCAATCCTGCAGCTGCGTTATATGTACTCAGGCTGTGATGGCACCAAACCGCTATATGACTCAAAACATGTTTGCCACTCAGAAATGCTCTGATCGTAGAAGACACTGTAAAAAAAAAAAAGTATACATATTTGAAAGTCTTTATTTTATCTAAAGATTTTTCACAACCATATCTTTAATTTGAAGTATGAAATCTATATTTACAGCAACACGTTTTAACTTTAACCATACTGTTAACTCCACGAGGACCACTACTCCATGTCATACTTTATTTTCAATCATATACAATTTTTTAATTAAAGAAGTTTCGTGTTATCATTAGTATTATTTACAAATCATGTTTTCCATTTTACACCTCATTTCAGTCCTATTTGCGGCTCATCTTACACTAAGACCGTCACACAACATATAAAAAAGACAAAGTCCAGTATGTATTTGAAAACAATTTATTACTGATGATATTAAGCTGAAGATTAATGACACATCAGAGTAGCAGGACACAATATAATACAGCAGGTTTATTTCTGTTTCACACGAGAGTCACTGGTTAAGTCAAATTAAATAAGCACAGTGGTTTTCAGAGCGTGGGGAGAGAAACCATACTGCTGTAGCTAACTGGCTGTTTGTTGCATCCTGGTGTTCCTGCATACTGCTACAACAACATTAAGATTTCTACACAAAAAAAACCCTGTTAAACCATGACAAAGTACATTTAATTAAATATTTTTGACAATGACACACAGCACAGCTGTATTTCTGTTAACATTTCCCAAACTCAAATATGTCTGTGAATAGCCCATCCGGTGTTTCGTTCATTCAGGTCGCAGAGGAAAAGCTGTGAGAGATGAAGGGGTGGGATCAAATCCAAAATCTCATCTCATTTGGGTATGACGTTTAAATATGAATCAAATAATAGCACACTTGTTTGACAAATATTGGTGCAAGAGCATCGCGCTAGCTATCACGGTATTTGGGCTCACTGCCAGATAACTCACACATGTCGACTATATTTATGTCGTCTCAACTGTCAGTCACATTTCTTCGGCAAAATAATAAATTTATATGAGAATTCTGCGATATTCAAAGGACAATGTGAGAAAATTACGAGGAGAAAGTCAGTCACAATCAGACAGAAATGCACAGTGTCCTTCAGCGGGTTCATTTGCTCCATTTTGAGTGTATTAATCAGTATTCCAGTTGTCCGTCCTGCTGTGCAGTTTGAGGGGTTTGAGATTCAACAGCGAGGCGGGAGGACTTCATAGCCATAATTAACATGAATTACAGTTAATTCACATGTTTGGATCCGGGCTCTCCTGATACTACACCTCTTGTCTACATTGGCTACAGAGACAAGCTCATAACACATGTATCACACATGCCATAAATATGCAGTGTTTTGTTGGATGCCTTAAATATTATCATTGTATTAATACATTTGGAGACCATGTCAGCTTGGGAAATCACTGACAGTTCAGCCAGATAATTGTGTCTTGTTGCTGTTACATGTGGTCCATACTTAGTTTTCTCATGTATAAGGTGCATTTTATTGTTTATGATACTTTTATTTATAACGGAGCTCTCTGCCGAGGATGGCCGGGGCAGTGAAATTGAAGTTGAAATGGAAGCTGTTACATCCCTCCCTCTGGTGCTTTTACAACTGCACGCTGTGCAGCTTAAGAAGAAAACAACGTTAACTCAGTTTTCCCTCAACTAATATAAAAGGTGGTATATTTGAAGAAACGGTTTCTTAGGAGAGATCTCCACCTCTAAAGAGTCATTTTTTGAGGAATTAAAATGTTGAGCATGTGCTACACAGTTAAATCTCTCAGCATACTTGCTGCAGAAATTCAAAAATGAAAAATCGCCAGCTTGCATGAGCAAACGTTTTGTTGTTTATGTGGAAAAAGTGCCGGATGGGCTTCAAGCTGCACAGACCTACAGGCCAAACTGTCCAATTCGTCATTATGCTACATGGCCATCTGTAAGTGGTCTGAAGTGTCGCATAATAGATTGTTTTGGCCATCGAATGCTGAGTTCTCTTCAAAATGAATACGTCCTCAGGAGGCCTTCAGCTTAAACCATAGCTGTCATGTATCTTAGTCTCTGTGAGGGACACACAATGTCAAACTAAACAAAACACAACTAAACGTTTAAGTCAATCTGGTCAATTCTATATTATTCTCTATTTACACTTCAAGCCGTTGTTATCTATAGAAATTCTTTATATAAATATATAATATAGATATATTTGTATTTACATCTCTTTTCAAAAAAAAGTCAGTAGTGCTGTGCAGTCTATCCTATCAGAGTTAAATACACGTAGACAAACACGTGTGGAGGTCAGTACAGGTAACATAGAAATGCATGCAGTGCACCTGCAACTGTGATGAATCGACAGCTCGTCCCACCCAAAACAAAAACAATCAGAGTGGTTGACCTGTACTTACAGGAATTACAAATACTCAACTTCACCACAGAGCTCTCGTGGTTGTCTCTTAGTCTTTTTGTCTCTGTAAGACCGTCTCTCCGTGATCAGCGGTGTTCCCATAGCGACAGCAGTAGAAGCAGCAGGGTCGCCAGGGTCAGAGGTTCAACAGACGACGTGTGGGCCGAGCCTCGAACTACCACCTAACAGAGAGCGTGCAATGATGTTATATGACAAGAATAACAAGAGGAGCAGGGGAAGGAGAGAATGGATGTGAAAGGAGGGACAGCCATGACCTACCTGTGGAGGTGAGAGGTGGTGAGGAGGGACGGGCCGAGGAGGAGGAGGAGGAGGAGGAGCCATGTCCTTTGTTGCTGGACTACGACCGCTGGACGTATCGCCTGTCTGATCACCTGAACAGATGCAGTGAAAGTACATAACAGCATGAGTACACAAGTACTGTCCTATCAGACGAGCTTACGTCCCCTTCATCAGCACCGCCTGTCCTTGTTATTTAATGTTTTCATGAGACATAATGAACCTGGAATATCCATGTCAGCCTCTCTCTCTCTCTTTAATTTACTGTAGCATTATTCATCATTTTCAGCTATCGATTTAGACTTTTCTGCTCACTTACTAACTAGATTTCACACATTCTTAATAACAGCCAGTAGTGTTAGTTTGTTACAACTGACTCATATTGATTAGAAGTGCGTCCTATGCAGTTAGCTCACCATAGCTGGTAGTTAATTGGTTATACTTAAAATGCATGGGCTCATAGAGTATAAATTCAGATTTCTTATAATTCATTTTTTTTAAATATTTTTAATATTTTTATATTTTTTATAAATATTTTTTTTCCATTTACTTGTATTATCGTTGGTTTTTAAGTTCAAAGCTCTGAGTGCACTACAAGTACAGTACATAATCCAAAACAAAGTATGTTTTATACCACATGAGGATAGGATTGAACATAGGAAAAAGGCAGTACTTCATTAATCTAGTTTTACAAGCAATCAGCGCATTTGATTGAAAAAATCAATTAAATGAACCCAAACAAGTTTAGGGCTTTGCAATCATTTTGAAGAATCTAGTTTATCTAGTATCCCTATGAATAAATGAGTCCATAAATCAACAGTCTGAGTCAAGGTTTGTGGAAGTAATTCCTGGTTCTGTTTTTAGTCTCATGATTGCACAACATCTTGCATTATTTATGGCTGTTTTTGTTGTTGTTTAGACCTGAAAGATTTATGAATTTCAACCTACCGATCTACAGCTTTGTACAAATACTGTCTTACAAAAACGCACACACACACACACACACACACACACACACACACACATATATCACCCAGATACATTCTCATACTCACCTGCTCTGTCCTGGCACAGACACACACACACAGACACACACAAACACACACACACACCTGCTTGGGCAGAAATCTGATTCTGTCTCTTACAATACACATTGTCCTGCAGTACAATAGACAAAGAGCCTCTTTCAGTCGCTGAGGAATGAGGTGAGTTGTTAATGTTCACACACTCACACAAATATTATATCTCATAATAATACAGACATGAAGAAGGCAGGAACACACCCTTATAAACACACACACACACACACACACACACACACACACACACACACACACACAGCGTTAGAAATTCAAACCACAGACATAGACACTCTTCTAGAAAGACAGAAATCTGTTTCAAAGACGCATGATATATTTTTGTTTTTGAGCGTCTGTGGTGATGATTCAGATGATTTACTCACAGCAGAATGTTTACCAATTAGGAATCTGTCCTTTCTTGTGTGCTCTCTTGGCAGATAGATGCATGGAGCAATATGGGACCCTCGGATCTTGGCTGTGCAAATATTTGTGAGTGTGTGTGTGTGTGTGTGTGTGTGTGTGGGCGTGTGTGTGTATGCGTGAACTGTTTTGTGTGGAACCTGGAAACCTTTGTGTCGCATTTGGTTTGAACTTTTTATAGGAACAGAACAGCATAGCATTATTCTTGCTGTTACAATTTCTGCACAATATCTGCTACTTCTGTCATCACAGCACTCAAGAAATTTGAATTATGTAAAAAAACATCTTTTGCTGGTTTGCTGGGAGCTGGTTTAGATGAACAAATTTAAAGTTGTTTTATTTGTTCCATAATTAGTCCAATAGGAACATCACACAATGCTTAACATTTTCATTAATAGTTTGCACTGAAGAGCATTAGCAAGGTGAGTGAGTTACTCTCATATTTGAAGGTAAATTAGGCTGCAAAAATTGTGGTTTGAGAGGATTAAATGCAAAATGATACTAAAACTTGTGATAAAAAAAGATGCTTGAGGCTAAACGCACATTTAAGCCAACTGCTGTTGAAGAATGAAGATCCAGGTCTGTGTCATATGCATGACAGCAGACAAAAGTAAATACAGAGGTAGAACGTGAATAACTAATTATACTTGCCAATATACTACTTTAAAACCACTACATTTGTCTGACAGCTATATTTACTTTGTACATCAACATTTTACATAAATAACTTAATTTCTACTTAAACATACAAAAAGGCTTTAATAGATTTAACTATCAGTATATAAAGTACCACAATAAAACATTACACATTAAAGCATTAGTAATAATGATTAAACAATGAAATGATCAATAGTCAACCCCACATTTTTACTACAAATAGTAGTAGGGCAGCAATTAATGTGCTCATTTTTTTTCCAACTAAGAAATTAATTGTTTAGTCAAAACATTTAAAAAAATATTCAAAGAACGTCCAAATGCAGAAAATACATTTTTGCTTAATACGTGATGTATTGACTATCAAAGCACAACGGTACGATAAGGTTCAATGTCTTAAATCATTGCACTCGAACTTTCAAAGGCTGCTTTGCATGTGCATATGCATGTCCGTGTGTGTTTGTGTGTGTTTGTGTGTGTGTGTGTGTTTGTTCTGAAAACAGGTGGCAGAGCACAGTCTCCTCCTACATGCCCTTCAGCATGTTTGTCTCTTAGCAACAATCAGAACATGTCACATGTTGGAGATTGCCAACAAATACGTCCACACACACACACACACACACACACACACACACACACACACACACACAGCCAGAGATGAGTGATGAACAATGTCACTTGTCATATACTCATGGGGTAGTTTAACCTTTACTAGAATGAGTAATGAGTGTGTGTGTGTGTGTGTGTGTGTCTGTGTGTGTGCGCGTGTGTGTTTGCGTGTGTGTGTGTGTGTGTGTGTGCATGATAATAAGAATGCAGGAGTGACATTTGGAGCATCAGGAAGTTGCAGTGGTAGATTGCAGACCCCAGGTCAGTGCAATTGCGGCTCAGCCCAAAGTTTCAGCCTTCTTCATTGACATCCAGCATGTGAGCAGCTTACACCTCGATTCATGCACAGTTTGCATCCTCAGAGGAGCTGAACTGACAGTTTACAAGGAAGGCCAACCATGTATTGCTGAAGAGGAGAGCAACAGTGATACATCATCCACTCCAGTCCAAGCAAATAAATGTCCTCTCCCACCATTGACTTGTAATTTTGATACTTTTCAGACAAATAACATAAAAATAATTGGATTCAAGCGAGGCATTCGCCCAGGGATGACAGTAAGGATGGAAAGCAGGTGGAGCAGAGCCGTAAATCAGAGCTGTGGTGACCCAGTGGAAATCTCTCTCTCTCTCTCTCTCTCTCTCTCTCTCTCTCTCTCTCTCTGCACATACACAGGTTTCTAAGGACTTGGTGAAGATTATTTTTGCCAAAAAAAAGAAAAAAACATGTCTTATAGTTGATATCCAACATGTTTTACAATGATCGGTATGGCTCCACTATTTTATTGTAACTTTGATTTGGATAAATAAATGCACATTCATGTGTCAAATATGAAAGAAGCAGCATTTCTTTGGTAAACAATAAACACATTACAGCATATTTGAAACAATCATTCATTTATCATTTGTGTTTTTTTTGATTTGATGATGTTTCTGCATAATAGAAGCAAAACATTCATCTTCCAAATGATTATCAGCCAAAATCACCATCCTGTGGTGCTTTAATCCATTATAATGTTCAGACATTAGCATCCCTGCCTCACCTTTAACAAATGTCACAAAACATACATTCCAGAGAAGAAACCTCAGCATTATGTGTTCAATTCATTTCCTTTCATGCATTCCTGCAGTCAGCCGTCTGAAACAAAACCCGGCTGAATACGGTGAGTGTGCTGCATGTGTGTGTGTGTGTGTGTCCATAAACACTGTGCACCAAAGAGACATGTTAGTTATGCTTTTATCAGAATGATCTGTGTGTAAAGCAGAACTGAATCAATGCATTTTAATGTGTTAAACAAAGAAGAGGAGCATTCATACTGTCTTGTCTTGCTTCAGAAGGTAACCTCAGGTAGTTCAGGTATTTGTGTGTATGTTTGTCCACGTGTTAGAGAAATGAAAGGTTGTCAGGGACGCAGGATGAGTTGAAAAGTGAACTGACAGCAAAAGTGAATATGTGTGTGTGTGTGTGTGTGTGAGTATGTGCGTTAATGATCGTGTTTGATGGCAGATGCCTGTGGCGTATTGTACAGAACTGTCAATTAAGGCCCCAATTATGCCCAATCTTGCTGCTCCCCAATTTGTATGTATTCAACAGACATTCATTCTCTCTCTCTCTCTCTCTCTCTCTCTCGCTCTCTCTCTCGCTCTCTCTCTCTCTCTCTCTCTCTCTCTCTCTCTCTTGCTCTCTCTCGCTCTCTCTCTCTCTCACACACAATGCAGGGTGACCTTGAACAGCGTCTGGATAGCTGGTGTGTGTAGGTGTGTAAATGTATCCCCAGCATTTCCAGCTGAATCAGTAATGAGCATTTCATTACTTCAGCCTCAGATCCCCAGGGAGGAAACACACACACACACACACACACACACACACACACACACACACACACAAACACAGCATGGTAAAAGGTAACTGTGGATTATACCCTCAGGAAGTACTTATCAGAATCAAATTATATAATGATAGCAAAATAAAAAAGCTGAGAAGGAAAGAAAGACGATGAAAGGAAAGACATAAATAACAGTAGGCTATGTGATGTGAACATCAAAGTAAATCCACAGTGGAAATATATCCAAATACCAATGACAGTGGCTGAGCACACAGTGAGCCTTCCAACAAACTGTACTGTAACTCTAAATATTCTCCACTTCTGTCATCTTGTTATTTATGGACTTAAAGAAAGAGTATTATGATATTGGCCTGCTGGTCAACTTAATCATTTAGACGGGAATTCGATTTTAGAATCATCAAATGTGTCTCTGGTGGGTAATTTGCCGCAATGTTTTAAGCATTTTAGTCAGCTTATACTTTATTATACTTGAATGATAGTGATGCTTCT